GCGCGGCGGCGGTACTTACGGCGCAGCGAATATAATCTTCACTAGTTTAGGCCGAATGTTCGGTGACTCTAACCTTCCCGCAGTAGGGTGGCCGAGAGACACTTCACACTAGCCAGGTACTAGTGAAGACTAGTGAGCGGTCGGATGCCTCGGGAGATGACTTAGCTCCCTTATATGCCCTACGCCGGTTCCCCGAGCGTGTAGAAGTGTTGGTATTCTCGGTATTGTTTCATGTTACTCGCGTAGGTTCGCAGTCGACTGTGTCGTCACTGCGCGCTCTGGTGGTCGTCTGGGCCCGAGCACTGTGCGAGTAACGGTACACTCTGTGTCCGTTACAATCTTCTATAGTTCTATCTATGATATAAAACCGTGAATATATAATTCCCTAGTGCTCATTTCATAGTGGAATCAATCGGAAGATAATTGAAAAATTGTACAGTGAGTTTTTTGATAGGTAAGTGTTTGTTCATCATGGTTAGTTTAAACAATCACGCTTAAAATTTTAAAAAAACTCAACCCGCGGACCACCGTGCCATACAATATGTGTATAGGTATACAATTTGCATGTTAATTTTAATTAATAACTAATTTTCCGCTAAACTTTCTTAATTTTTTAGTAGAACATGGTATTTATTTTTATTTTTTGATTTTCATTGGTTAATCAGGCACATCAGGTTTAAGAATGCATAAATTGAATTTCAGTACATTGCCTAGTGCCTACTAAGGTGGCTGTCGCCTGAGTTACCCTTATAGCCACTCATCAGCATGTACAGAATCAAAATAATTACCTATACAAATTATAATTATAACCATAGAATCATTGTTTAATAACAATATGTATATAGAATCATTAGTATCATTTGTAAATATTATTATTATTATTTTTCAAAATTAGATTTCTAAGGGGGTAAAATGGGAGTTTTTATATAGCTGTATAAATACGGGCAGCGCCGTGATGGGACAGCTAGTTATATTATAATTATATATTAAGATTCTAGTAATTATTATATATTATTACTCATAGTACAAAATTTAATTTTTATATATTGATATTGCTATATTAAGTACTATTATTTATACATTTTAAACTACTAGCTACTTATTACAACATGTTGTAGAAAAATGGCATTTTGAAGTGCACAAAACATTATTTTTAAGGCAAATGCACTTTTTATTTTGACAATTGGTCTTACAATTCACAAACACAGTTTAAAAATCCTTGGCCACTTCCTGTCGACTGTTTTTTTTGTGACTGTTTCGTAATGCCATTTCTGTGTCTTTTGGAACCTCGTAAATTTGTAGTAGCTTTTTCTGGCATACTGTGAACTTACTGACTTCTGGCGTATAACTGCTTTAGAACTTCAAAGTTGTAATCTTCATTACATCAAATTGTGCACACTCGGTCACGGTAGTCACATTTACGATAAACTATAAGTAAAGTCGTTGGTTGATACCCAATTTTCTTTATTTTTATCATATTTCCTACTCCACGTTGCGCATTATACATAATACCTAGGCAGAGTGCTAGTATTATGTAAATTTCCTAGTACTCCTCTGCCTAAGTACTTTGCAGAATACCGGATATTGCCAGTAACATCAACAAGTTTTCGTCTGCGAAGATCATATTATTATTTACTATGTCAGATGTTTTCCCCCACTGAATCAACAAGGCTAATACTTCAGATCTTAGAGCACCCCTGCACACAAATTTGCCACCGACCACCGTTCTTAATTCGAATAGGTAGAGTATTGTATTTGAATATTGATCAAATCCAGAATCCCTTCATTTGGTGATCTAACGCTGACACAGAAAAACTACCTACTTATTCAAGGATCATGCTTGGTAATATGTCACTACGGTTCCTCGATCTGTGACCTCTTTCTGTTATCAGTAGGCGTGTGGGATATCGGTTGCCGTGACTGGTGGTTGTAGAAAAACATAGATAACGGTCACAAGTAGAATTTTCGAGTATACAGACACAAAATAAAATACTTCAACACCTAAATAATTAATTTTCGCACTATTTAAAAAAAAATATTATGTTAATATTCACTTAATAATACTTAGAATTATGTTAAATCTTGTTATAATATCAATAACATATTTCTTTATACTATTTTACCAAATGTATTATACAATTCATATTCATTGAACTACATCATAATTTAAAAATAACTATACCTATATAATTTACACTTAACTTATTCATTTAAATTATTTTATGTTTACTCCTATTTGTTTTTTAGAACTATTGGAAGACACAATAATTCCCAAATTACGAAATGAGTTTTATGTTATGAGTTGTAAGGAAAAAATAACAACAGATATTTATATAGTAAGATTTTTAAATATATCTAAGTCTTCAAAATATCAATTTTGAAATAATATATTCCTAAATAAATTATGACTGTGATTTTTGATACCAAATATTTCCAGAAAATCTGTGAGGCCTTCATTATTATCAATTAAATATTAGGTATTTGATGAACATTATAATTACATAACAACACTATAGGTATATTTTATAATATTATAATGGGCAATATTTTAATTAAGCATAAAATATTTTTCATAGACATAAATAATTATTACAGCAATGCCTGTTTAATTACAATCGCATCAGTCAAAACTCAAAAGGTGCATACCAGGATTTCCTTATGAGATAAACATTGTAATTATTTTCATTCGATTAAATCGGCCATCAGGGACGTATTCAAAAATATCTTAAAATATGGTGGGGATCATAAAAAAATCCAGATAATACATAGTTATAAGTTATCAATATAACTCATATTTTCCATCTCAAAATAATGTAATAAAACTAATAAAAGAGTATAAAATACCTTAAATGAGTAGAGCATAGGCAATGTGCCCCCTCCCCCCACATACACTCACACAAATATGACTAAGTCGGTCATTGATTATTTTTGTTTGGTACATAATTTAGTAAGGACAGTATTATATTATTGTATCTTAAATAATATATATCTTAATGATTACATACCTTCAGAGCTTAACAACAATGGATTATAAAATTGATCAGAAGGCATTGCATGCAATTGTAACTTCAGCAATAGATTTCATCAACACAAAACCGGAAGAATATAAAAAAAATAATCAAAATATCAAACTTGGTATGAAGTGTAATATAATAATGCCTATCTTCCAAAATTACTACCAGAATAAATTATCTTTATCTGCATTAAAAAAATGAATTAGTAATTATAAAAAATATTTGATAAAATTTAATATAATTTTTTAAACAATATTAATGTGTTTAGTGACAAAAATAATATATTCACTGAACAAAAAATGATTTGTCTTTAATATTATGATATTAAAATAATTAAAAATAAGTATTTTATATTATTAAATATGATTTTAGGGTATTAACTAAATAATATTCATTTCAGATTTGGACCTTTGAACATCAATAATATTTCAACTAATCACCATTGTTATTTCTATTATTATTATTATTATTATTATTTTTTTTTTTTGTTTATTTCTTATTCTCTGTACAAATTATGCATGTGTATTATCAACGAACAACTTTTAATCAAATCCTGATAAATGAATAAACTATTTTGAATTAAATGACACAAATTTGTTAATTCAACTTTTTTATGTACCTAGTACAAGTACTAGAACTTGATTTCAATATTAGCTCAATGTTCATTTATAGATGTTACGGGCAAAGTGGAAAATTCGGACAATGTATACAATGCACCGGGCTCTTACAATGTAAGAGGTATATTGGGCAATGTAAATTGTGAAGTATTTATACAAATAATCTGCATAATATTATTATACCTAATCAATGATATTATATACTAATTTAATTATACTCGTTTATATGGTTATTTATATAAGAGTATTACAATTTTTTTTTTTAATTAATTACATTTTAAATGTATTTAAAGGTAATGAAATAAAATATTATGTGCATAATGTTCAGATATATGATATTATACATGAAGTTAATTTGTCAATTGGACATGGAGGTAGAAATAGAATGGAACATGAGATTAATAAAAAGTACAAAAATATAACTAGAGATGTAATAATGTTATATTTAAATAATTGCGAATCGTGTAAAAAGAAGGGAAGTACAGCTAAAAAAGGGTTGGTTGTAAAACCAATCATATCTTCTGAAATGAATTCTCGCTGTCAAATTGACTTGATCGACATGGAAGCACAATCAGATGGCGATTATAAGTTCATTTTAGTTTCTCAGGAACATCTAACAAAATACACTATGAAGATTATTTGTATAAATACTTCACAATTTAAATTGCCCAATATACCTCGGAAATTGTATACAATGCCCGGTCACTGTATGCAATGCCCAAGCATTGTATACATTGTCTAAATTTTCCACTTTGCCCGTAACATATACATTGATCTAAAATTGTTTAGTTAACTCCGCCTTAACTTTTCAATGTTATTTTAGAATATATTTAATGATTCATTTTTATTTTTATACATGCATTCTAAATATATTTAATAGTTGTAGGTACGTATCTGATAGGATTGATATTTACACACAGGATCATCGAAACTTCATTGCCTTGGCTCCAACCTGGTTGTAACATATTGTAATAGGTACATAGATAATTTTGTTGTCCTTAAATAGCTACGATCAAAAATATCCAATTATAAATATATGTTATTTACATTTAAAAAATCTATATACATTAATTCATTATTTGTTGAAGTTGTATTTCAAATGTAAAATATTGTGAAAAAAATATTTAATGGTGAATTTATGTCACTGTAATATTATAAATTTAAAACGTATCTTATTGTTATTTTTTAGCAATTGATATTTTGGAAATTTATGTCAAAGTTCAATCGAAAAAATTAAAAGAAGACAAAAAGAATAAAACAAATGATGATAGTCAACTTAAGAAAAATCATCCCTCTGACGATAAAACAAAATCACCTTCTGAAAGCAAGCCTTTAAAAACAAAATCTGATATAAATTCTGAAAATAAACAACAACAAAATGAAAGAGTAAAAAACTTATCCAAAAACATTGATTATTATATGGAGGCACCATACGAAACAAAATATTCAGAAAAACATACCAGAAAAAGGAACATTTTTTATGCCCTTATATGGTTAGCTGAATTGAACGGAGTACTTTGTAATAATTTAGAAGATAATATTTTGGATTATGAAACAGCATTAAACAAATATATAAATGAAGCTTACGAGTTTGGAGAAAAATACTATGTCATGAATCATATTAATAAAAATGATACACATTTGACGTATCTAAAACATAAATATCAAGCCAAAGTAATTAATTTTAATACATTTGATTAATTTTTGCTGCAGGCTAAAATATTGAGATAATTTTCTTATGTTATTTAGAATATTTTGTAATAATATGTGATCTTGAATCCAATCAATTTCAGTGAAACGTAAAAAATTCGATAGAACAAACCAATGTAGTTGATGTGACACACCCACTTTATAAATAGTTTAGTTCAATACATTTTCATGACATTCCATAAAAACATAATAAATCGTTATATTATAGTTTGATAACGATGGTTGGTTTTTTACGGTTAGGTTAGCCTAGCCGGTTTAGTTTCTGCTTGTAAAACGTTGTCAATTAGTTGACAAGAGTTTATGTAGACTGTATCTGATGCCGTATAGTTCCATAGACAGAATGCGTAGGTTATTTTTAGTAATAATAAAAATAAAAATATTTATTAATTCATCATCAAATAAAATATTAAATAAATTAAAAACTACAGAAAGTGTAGATGATAAAACTCCAATAAACGTACAATGTGTTTGGAGTAAGGAAGTTCAAATGAAAAAAAATGATTACATTATACATGATTTAAAAGTTAAACAAAATATATATATACATATAAAAGTAATAACCAAGAAACTACAAATAAAATAAGAAGTAATAATAATATATAGGTTTCATCAATAAGTACATTATACTAGTATATTATCAAAATTTAAATTCATAATGTGCTTTACTAGCATTTTATTATTACTACATTGTTTTCAAATCAATATTACATTTTCTACTTGAGTTATTCCAACTTTTATTATGTTAATTTAACCAAATTGTTTATTAACTATCATTAAATTTAAATTACCATAAGTTTTTTAACATTTATTATATTCGTGTTGAGACATAAATTGACTAACATCTAATTTTAACTTGAATAAAATTACATGTTTATAATAAACAGTTTTTAAATTAGGAACATTAAAGTCTTTATACGTATATTTTTTGTTGTGTTAGACATAATCTTCTTAAGAATAATTGTAATTAATGAGCTTAATGTAACTTCAAGGTTTGTAAAATGTAGGTAGGTATATTATAAGTTCCACCCCAGACTGCTATTCCGAAACTAATCGAAGATTAAACAAGAGAGAAATATACCATTTTTAACATCTTTAAGTTTAGAAGACATCTTAGTGATTTAAAAATATTAAATAGTTTACGAATTGAGGTTGAAATGTGTTGAATGCGATTATACCATTTACATTTTTCATCAACAATAATACTAAGGTCCAAGATACTTTATCACTGGTATACACTTAATGCCTGAACAGCAGCAGTTATCCTTCAGTAAACAGTTAAAATTATGAATTCTTAATAGAGAATGGAGGCTGCTTAAAGCATTCGATATACGGAAATGGACGTAATTAGATATAATTTCCGTAAAATTATTTCCTTCAATCAAAACGAAAGTGTCATCAGCATAAGAAATAAGTTCACTATTTATTTTCAAATTAAAAACATCATTAACATAAATTATAAAAATGTAGGACCAAGTACCATGTGGGTGTCCATGTTTTGTTATTAAATTATCACTAATAATATTATTAACGATTACTAGGACCGATTTTTACCGACCTAAAAAATACACGAAAATGCACTAAACAAAATGCAAAAATGACCAAAAAATTTACTAGTTATTATTTTTAATTATCAATACAATAACTATCAAATCAATGAAAACCATATTTTGACATAAACATTGTTGAATTGTAAATTGTTACCTTAAAAAATATAGTCATTACTTGTATAAAAAAATTAATTCTTACATATAATTTAACAAATTGATTCCTCGTAAACAATCTGTCATAAAATACATTTGTGTTCATCATTTGCAATCAATCAACATAGCAAAATAATTAAATTACAATTTTTATTTTTATTTACAGAAGCTATATACTAAGAGTCGTTGGGAAATGTCTACTTGGCCGGGTGGCTGGGTCAGTTCACCCAGTACATCACTGGTTCAAATAAATCATTGCCAAATATTAAACGCCTTAACCTTAAATGATGTATCATCAAGAGTGAATGATTACCTAAACTATATAAAAAATGGTTCATATTTTCAATTCATTAATAAGATAGAATTAAATATTCTACTATATAGAAATGTTAAGAATAAGAACTCTAATGATTTTGATACAATGTACAGATATTTAAAGGATGCTATTAACGAAGTGGTCATTACTTCAGAGGTAAACCTAATTTAAAATACAACATATTTTTCCATACCTAATATCCAACGTGGGCTAGCCCACGATTCCAATTCTAATACAAAAGATTATATTAATTTAACAATCAACAAGATTTCCACATAAAATTTGTTCCGACGTTGCCAGTTATGAAGAAAAAACTAATGATACAAAATAAAACAAAACATTAAAAATAAAGTTTATAGAAAAAAATATTTAAATATTTTTTCTTAATATATGACTAATTTATAATAAACGTGAACAACATGGTAGTTCGATTATTATGCATAATTATTAATTGTATGAATATGCTGTGAAAATATTTTCTTCGTTGATCTATACTTACGAATTGAAAGTCGTGGTGTCATATTCCCAATGATTCTGGAGTTTTTAGTAACTCTGTAAGAATAATATTGATAGGTTTACTAGAAACTGATTCCTCTGCTAAATTTCTCAGAGTACTTATTTTTCTATTTTATAAGGATTGTCAGCCGGATGATTATGTACGCCTATAAAAGTCATAAATATTTTTTTTCTGAATTTTAAAATATAAAGGCAGTGCAATTTTTTTCATAAAAGCGCCTCCACTTTAAAAGCGTTCATGTCCCCATCCCCACTGATGTAATATTTCAAATTTTTTTATTCTTATAATGAGTAAAAATTTTATTCCTGTGAATTCCTATGACCCGATATACCTACAAATCTTTGTTTATATTCATTAAAAACAGTTCGTTCCTTATTTATCTGTCACAATAATACGAACTTTTATATTATTCATTTTAAATTAAAAACTCACAAAAAAATGTATGACTCAATAGTAAAACATAATAATTGCACTGTAGACTAGAGATGGTGAATCTATGTCACGTGTGTCGTCACGAAGTGAAACTCCTACAGTCTTAACACACTCATCTTGTTTTTTTATCATTCGAGCCATCGATGTAAGAATTTTTTAAGTTTCAAAAAAGAGTCATTCAATTATTTAACAGGCAGGTAAAATAAAATAATAAAATCCATCCTGTATTTTTATTTGAATCTTTAGTTCAGAAATTTTTGTCATCTCTACAATGTAGACTATTCAGATAAGGTAGTACTTGGGAAACACCAAAATAATTATATAATATGACTTATATGTAATTTTAATGTCAACCATTTTTATGTTTAAAATAATTTTTTAAATACAAATGGCAACGTCGCTAATAAGTTTCGCGCGGAATTATGAGAATGAAAAGGTATATGAGGAATATTGTAATGCAAAATCATGAATTCACCGCCAACATGTCTTAGAAAAAATGAAAAATATTTTCTTGTAGAATTTTTTTATATATTCATTATGCGGGTCAAATGTACAACATGTATTTAATAAATTTAAATGTTTCTTTTTTTATTATCACTCATTAATAAAATATTTATTCAATTATTTTTTCCTAGGTATTTGACATTATTTCATTCCTACAATCGAACGTTGTTCGCATATTTAGAAAAGTTTTGGATATCAGCGAATCTAATATATTTGTAGTCCATGAGACTATTTTTGAACAAATTAAAAATATTATAGAATATTTGATTAATAATAATATAAAAAAAAAATTATAATTAATTCACCTTTTCACAAAGACAACCAAAAATTAGGAATAAAACTTTTTGAAAAAAATAGGTGTTGTTTTGGTTCTGGTTGAGTTTTTAAGCAAGGTCGTTAATGATTTCTAATATCCTTATTTCCTTGTCGTATATTCTGCATTCGATTAAAATATGTTTAAAGTGAGGAACATCTCACAGCATGCCTATATTGAATGGTCTTCTTTCTTCATTAAATGAGAAAAAGTAAGATGGGTGTGAAAAATGCTGAAACGATTTATGGATGTCTCGAATTTTCTTGTGGTGTTAAGCTGTTAACAGGAAAGAGGGTTGGACAGATTTCTTGATTTCGTTAAGTTTTACATCTTTGATGACCCTCTTTGTGCCATTAAAGTAGAAAACAGTTATCGTAAGACAATTTGAGGAAGAATGAGCATTTTTGGCTGCCGTATATACTTGGTCTTTGAAATGTATGTTTCAGTGGCCAAGAATCCAGAAGTATGCAATATTTTTGCAATATTGTATTGCTATAAAGTGGTTGTTCTGAATTTTCAGAAATGTCAGAGGGGGAATACTGATTTTGAAGGCTGGTTAAAGCAGAAAGAAAGGCAGTAAATATTGTGATATTGCTGTCGTCTACTTTGGAAATGGTGAATTAAATAGCTTTAAGAACTGCCTGGGCTTCTGCGGAATATATCGAACATTTGTTTGAGAATTTCCATTGAATAGAAGTTTCTTCACAAATGATGACAACTTGACGCGCTGTTCGGTGAGGGAGGCATCTGTATATAATATGTGAGTTTGTGTATGAGCAAGTGAACTATTGAAGCGAGTTAATTTTGAACACATTTTTGTAAGTATGAGGGCATGTTGAGTTTTTGTGGAATCGTTGCAAGTGAAGATAAATATACATGACTAATGCCGAGTTTCAAATAGACATAGATATGTTGTAAGATCGTATTTTATATATGCGTCGTAGAAAGTATGTATTTGGTCTTGAAGGGATCTTGAGTTTCTTGCTGTTAATTTGTTAGTTAGTTCTCTCCACCGTACTCCAAGGGAGGTTTCCTAACATTTAAGATACTTTTGATGGGTCTGGAACGGAAAGCGAAAACGAAAAGTCGGATTCCTGAATTGTAAACAGGCTCAAATATTTCCAATTGAGTAGGTTTGGCTAATGAAATGTGTTGAAAATAATAAGTCTTTGTACTGCAGCAGAGGATAGTGAAGTCTTTTGAGAAGAGTAGATGTATGTTTGGGAGTGTAAGTACTTCAGGTATATCGTTGATATCGATCAAGAAAAGTTATGGAAGATATGAGTCCCCCTGGGCCCCCATTGTCTTGTAGAAAGGTGTCTGAGAGCGTGTTGGGGGGTTTTACTTGAAAGGTGAGGTGGTTAAGGAAATTCGAGGTGAAATCTGACATGGTTCCTTTGGGAATTATTTTGTTGAGTTTATTCAAAATTCTGGGTCATCAAGCCATGGCATACGGCTTAACAATGTTAAATCTGGTCATCCCCAGATTTTATTTGTTAAGTAAGCAGGTTTCATTTTCATTTGTTATGGTTAGAAGGTTATTCATCGTGCTTCTATTACTCCGAAATCCATTTTGTTCGTGGGTAAGAATGTCAAAGTTCTCAATGAACCATATAAGTCGGTGGTTGACCATTTTTTTATAGCTTACCCATGGTAGTCTCCTATTAAGACAAATGTTTTTTTCGGATTGGGAAACTTTTAGAAACTCGATCCCTGCCAAGAGACTTAAAGAAACAATTATACACTACATTGATAAGATCAGTAGTTACGTATGGAGCAGAGACCTGAGAAATTCGTATAACCGACGAAAATTGACTCCTCTTCTTTGAAAGAAAAATTCTAAGAACAATTTTTGGACCTGTAAAGGACAATGTAACTAATGAATGGAGGATAAGGAAAAACGAGGAGTTGGAATCACTGTACCAAAAACCAAACATTGTTGAAGCAATAAGAACTAAGAGACTATAATGGGCAGGGCACGCCTGAAGAAACAAAAACCCATTAATTCGTACAGTACTGGAAAAGAACAAAGTGGGAAAAAGATCCATAGCAAGAACGAAAATGAGATGGGAGGATGTAGTGAAGAAGGACGTAGAAGAACTAGGAGGAGGAAATGATTGGAAGGCACGAGCAGCAGATAGAGAGAGATGGAAAGCTGGATGTATGACGGGATGGTCCTAGAGGCCGTAAACGCCAAAAAAACAATAAAAAAATATGGGAATGATATATCCGTGTTTCCGTGAGTTTAAAAAGACATTTCTATCACATATCGTATTGTAATAGCCAATAGGTAGTTTATGGAGCTTATTATGGAGTTTTTAATGAATGAATCAGGAATTTTTATACCAGCAAAAACTGTATACTGAAATAATTGTGAAATTGTTAACTAATAATTAATTTTTTTTTTTTTGATGGTATTGAGGACTGGAGAAGGAACTATGGTGCCAGTACTTCTCCTCCAGCCCCCATCGTTTATTGTTAAAACAAAAACGCACGACAATTAACAGCGGCGGGCCAATCCCCCACTCGCTGCTATTACAAGCAAAATAGGACTATATATATTAGCAAACGGCGGAGCTCTGCTCTCTCTAGTTGCCTTAGGCAACAAATACATTTTTAGCTAACAATTTACAATGGTGAATTCCGTCGGTTCACAGCCTGCCGTACTCGTTCTTCTTCTTTCTTGACTGATAGGATGTTTTCCGCCATGCTGTAGAATAGCCTGAACCCCTCTTCGGCTTTTCTCAGGATCGCATCTTTCCCGTGAGCGTCCGACGACAGGAGCTCGAACGCCGGTCCGGAAATGATGTCCGGAACGTCATCAGTTCTCAGTCGATGGCCAATTCTGGCGCTCAGGGCTTCATGAAAGCCCAATGGGGGCAATTGAACAGAGTGTGTTCAACGGTATCTGATTCGCCCAAACACTGCCAGAAACGAGGACTGGCGGCCCTGTTCATGCGATGGAGGTACCATTCGAAGCAGCCGTGGCCCGTGAGTGCCAGTGTCATGTAGAACGTCAGAGGCACCCACGGGAAACTAATAATTAACTATAATAATAATAATAATAATAATAATAAATAATCACATGAACGCTATCAAAAAAAAATTAAAATAAACGTTTTCCTTGGTAAATAGAGCCAATTTTAGATAAATAAACAATAATATTTTTGTCGATTGTATACTCATTATAAATTTTAATTGAAGCTTTAATCCTTCTTGAATTAGAAAAAGCCATATTTTTGTTAATTCCTTTTGAAATTGAACATATTTTCGTCATCGTTTCGACTTGGATTTCTGTTAGTATTGACATAACCACATGTGTTGGTGGATGAGCGCTATGAAACTGCCAATTGTACATTTTGTGAAAACTTTCTGGACCGTTTAACTTGCCCGTCTTCTCGTTGTCTTATAAAACGATATTTATCTGTACCAACTAATGCCAAGTCTTTTCTGCGTTCCGACCGAATTATTTTTATTGTTTCATTTTCCATTTCATATATAACACTACACCATAATACTACACTTTACACTACATATTTTATGCGTTCGTTTTAACGTTCGTCAGTCAACTAATAAAATCTACAGCAGTACAGCGATCATAAGTAGTGTGAACTTTTATTTCACGATAATCATTTGATATTTCCAGTTTCGTCTATGTATGACTTACGGCTAGCATGACAACGTTGCACAAAAATAACATACGCAATCGTGTTATGAAAAAGGTTCAAAAAGGTACCACCGATAAGCAGCGTACGCAATCGTATTCTACCCAGTTTTATTTTTGCAGTTGTAAAGAGCATCTGTTGCTCCTCAATCTTTAGTGGGGAATTGAGTAGGAATTTATGGAAGTCCAGAGGGTCTACTGTACTTACTTTGTTAACATAACGTTTGAGAGTAGGAATAAATCTTGATCATAACTATTATTGCTATAATTATTATGAAAAATATGTCCCAGAGAGTTGACTACGTCATTAGCGACGAGGAGAGATTTGAGCCTATAAGTAAATTTATGGTGTTAGATCTGTTAGTTCCTTTTATGGATTTAATTTTTTTTGCATACAAATCCGTTTGATTATGCTTGACACTAAGTTCTGCTAGCTTGAAACCTTGATATTTTTTACTCGAAGTGTAGTATGTCCTTTGCAACTTAGGTTAAGTTAGGTTAGGTAATTATTGTTATTTTTATTATTTTATAATAAAATTTTCTTAGGTTTCGGAGGTTTGAAATGTTTTTAAAGCAGTGTTTTTGATTGGAATGGACTTTTTTATTTCATCATTCCACCAGGGAACTCTGAGTCAATGAGTTAATTAAAAGATCCATCAATGAACATTTTAGCAGTATTTTAAATAAGGGAAATAAAGAATGCTTTTGCTAGATCTATGTTGATGCTTATTCTGGAAGGGGGAGTCAAGTTAGATGTATTTTCCTCCATAATCGATGAGAAAAGATTCCAGTTTGCATGTTGGACATTCCCCATGGGAAGGTAATTTAAATGTGAATTATCCAGGAGAAAAGATCTATATTTTCAAAGGAATATATTCGGTGCTATATATTTATCAGGGATAGTGCTCCATTAAAGTTTATGATATAGGGACAAGTTGGTGATTGTTAGATCTATTGCTAACAAATATCCGTTAGAACTTTAGAAGGATTTATTATGGTGGATTGAACATATAATAAGGAGGTTGTTTGAAAGTTGCTCTTCCATTATTTTATCTCTGAAGTCACCCACACCTACAAACGTATTTGATTGTTCTTGAATGATTTGCTATGTATTATAGAGTGTAAAATCTTTTTATGAGGTATATATATAAATCACATAAGGTTAAGGTTATAAGGAGGATTATGCTAAAGCTTGTAGGTTTGTATGAATTTAAATTCTAAGAAAGTTATGATTGACCGAAATTTGCGACTTTATGAGGAGTTAGAACGGGATCCCTCTATTTTAACTTTTCTGATAATTTCTGCTTCTATCAGAAGGGGTGAGTCAGATATCGCTAGAGATGAAGAGTCTGAAAGAGGCCTATTGTTTGGTTCATAGAATGGGATGAAAAGGTTCTCGGTTTTGTCAGCCTGGTAAATGAGGGTAGGCTGAATCATTTCACTGGCTTAGTAGTCTTCTGTGATAACTTCCATTATAAGGGTTCATATGAAAGATTAGATTTTTATTAATCAAAAATTATAAAAAAATAACACAATTGTTTGACTCAACAACATTTACTTAGGTACTCAATTATAAACAACATTTGAGTTCTTTCTTACATTATCTCTTCGTTTCACTATTTTCATTCACTAATTAATACATTATTTTTAGGATCGAGTGAGAAATATGGAAGCTCATGAACTGTTGAGTAGATTGTTAATGAAGCGTAATAGACATGAAATTAAAATGGTAAATAACAATTTAATTTGATTATGTTCACCTAGTGTTTATATTTGTGTCCAACAATACCACAACTATCTACCTTAAAAATTACACAAATAAGCATACCAAGATTCAGGTGCCTGATAACTTTGAACTGATACTTTGATAATTGCAGATTCTGGAGGCATGCACATATTTTGTGTCGTGTACTGTGAAATGTTGAAGGTGGTAGGGATGATGTTACAATTCAGTATACTCAAAACTACATTGTTGCGCCAACGGGCCTTACCTAGGGCGTACGCTGGACGCTGAGTTCTCAGGACTTATGGGAGGGGGCACAATTGTATTACAATGTTGAGCAATAAAAACATACATATATTATTATTAACAATAGCAACATACATATATTTGGTTTCATACAATATGGACGGTAAGGGGCGGGGATCACCGCTCCGGTGAGCTACCGAAATCTTGAGCGGAGCTGCTGACCGCGACGACGTTGACGTTGACGATGGTGGACTTCTACTTTCAGAACACTGTGTGTAAAGTTGCGGAGCTGCTGTGTGGAGCAACGGATGGTTGCGAGCGACCGGAGTGAAGCTGCGACGTAGAGCAACGATAAAATCGACACGGAGCAGAACGGTCATAAATAACTGCGTGTTAAGCTAACACACGACGAGCAATACGGAACGTTGAGCTAAGACGAACTTGCAAAAAGCATATATGCTATGACGGATCGAAAAACACGTGGAGCAACGGGCAGTTGCGAGCGAACGGACACAAGAACGAGGCACAAGTACAAAAAAACGAGCCGGTACGCGCAAGCACCGGGGCGCGTAGCAACGCCGACGGCGGCATCTCCCGCGTCATTACCCAGACCGGGGTAAAAGTTACGACGGCAGGGTCACCAACATTAGGGAATGACCGGTTGCGATCATCACTGCCTGATGAACTCGTAACGCGGCATATATTGTTATCAACAGAAAGGTCGAACATACTCCCCCTTGGAAGTCACAGCTTGGCTTGCAATAGAGAGCTGACCTGGCTGGTTGAGCACTGGAACGGAGCCTTTGAACGTGGCAGTCGATCAGTTGGACGGAGCAGTCGATCAGTTGGGCGGAGCAGACCTGAGCGATGAACGGAGCAGTTGAGCAAAGCAGTTGAGCATGTGAACGGAGCAGTTGAGCAGAGCAGATGAGCATTTGAACGGAGCAGTTGAGCGGAGCAGATGAGCATTTGAACGGAGCAGTTGAGCGGAGCAGATGAGCATTTGAGCGGAGCAGATGAGCATTTGAACGGAGCAGTTGAGCGGAGCNGAGCAGATGAGCATTTGAACGGAGCAGTTGAGCGGAGCAGACCTGAGCGATGACCGGGTTTTACAAAGGGGAAACATTGGTCGTTGACCAGTACATATTAAATATAAAATATAAACTTGTCAAAACGTTTAAACATGTAGAACAAAAATAACAAAGGAACAAATGTTAATATCACAAATATAATTAAAGGCCAGACTCGTTACATTTTTTTTTTTTTATATAAGCAATAACAATTAGAAATAAAATTCGAGCGAGCGTTATACGAGCAAGTGTTTAGGTTAAAATAAGGAACATGATTTCAATATCACATACAATGTAATGATCAGTCTTTAGTCAAAATATAATTTTTTAAACATAATTAATAGTTACTCATTATGAGCTTAATGAATAGGCTGAGCAGCCGACGGAACATGAGGTAACAGGCGAGGTGGAGTACAAAATAATTAATTAGTTACAATATGAGCATAGCAATAACATACAAGTCTTAAGTGAACACGAGAACTGGATCTAGGAACGGACTAATGGCTACGGATCTGTAGGTAATAGTACTAACTTAACTACTGGTCTAGTGAACACTCCTTGGGTCGTGATTATCTTAGCTACACGCACTATCTGGTCAGTGCCCGGGTACACCTCTATAACTCTACCCAATGGCCAGGAGAGAGGGGGGGCATCTTTGGTCTTAACTATTACCATATTACCAACCTCTATGTTATTTTCTGTCTTGGTCCACTTTCCACGAGCTTGGAGAGTGTTTAAGTATTCCTGAGACCACCGTCGCCAAAAGAAGCGAAACGACTGCTGGAGGAGCTTCCAACGAGTCTGCACCGATTTTGATGCCTCAGGCGGTTCTGAATCTGGCATTGAGAGCAACGGCCTGCCGATCAAGAAATGGCCGGGGGTCAAACATTCTAAATCATTCGGGTCCGAGGACACGGGTACGAGCGGCCGTGAGTTCAGAGCAGCTTCTACCCTACACAAGACTGTGGTGAACTCTTCTAACGTCCATACCTGAGCGTTCATGGTACGAAGAAGTAAGGACTTGGCCGACTTAACTGCCGCTTCCCAAATCCCACCAAAATGGGGAGCACCTGGGGGATTGAAATGCCAATCACATGGTAAATGGCCAGCGATCCTTTCTCTCTGATCTGAGTGATTGATCAACCGCCTCAATTGTTTTGCAGCACCGACGAAGTTGGTACCACAATCGGAGTAGATGGACGAAGGTTTTCCCCGACGAGCAACGAACCTATCCAACGTCATCAAGAAAGCTTCTGTCGACAGAGCAGAGACAGATTCTAAATGGACCGCCTTTGTGGTCATACACACAAATACTGCAATATACACCTTACAGATCCGAGCCTTACGGAGACTCAACTCCTTCATCTGTAATGGCCCGGCATAGTCAATACCGACTACGGAAAACGGATGAGCTTCCTAAACCCGAAAACCTGGCAGATCAGCCATCATGGGTTGCGGGTTGACAGCGGCAACTCTAGCACAAACTGTGCACTTTCGGATCACACGGTGAACAACAAGTCTGATGCCCACTACCCAAAACCTCCTCTGAACTAGCGCGGTGAGCAACCGAGGGCTAGCATGGCAAGCAAAGTGGTGCCAGTGACGAACTATGAGTTCCGCCAAGTGAGACTCTTTTGGTATCAACATAGGGTGCATCCGACGCTCCGACCAATTGGAGTTTTGGAGACGACCCCCTACACGGACCACCCCGACAGGATCAACAAACGGAGAGAGGCGAGCGAACCCCTTGTGAGGAGCATCGTCTCCTTTTGCCAAATGCGAAATTAAATCGGAAATAAAATAGTTCTGGGCACTTCTCACGACCTTGACCAAGGCACAATCTAATTCTGACTGCCTCAAGAACCCTTTCTCGACATTCTTCTTGCGGCACAACAAAATGAAACGCTGCAAATGAGCTACTACCCGAATCAATTTATCAAAGGAAGAGAACCGCGCGTACCATTCTATTGGGGGATCACCCTTTGCCAATAAACATACCGGCCGAACTTCCGGTAAGTGAGCTAAGTTTACTCTGGGAATTTTGCCTTTCCAATCTTCAAC